AATTTTTTTTGATGTTTGTTTATTTTTGAGAGAGAGAGAGAGAGGGACAGAGTGCGAACGGGGACGTGGCAGAGAGAGAGAGGGAGACACAGAATCTGAAGCAAGCTCCAGGCTCCGAGCTGTCCGCACAGAGCCCGACGTGGGGCTTGAACTCAGAACTGTGAGATCATGACCTGAGCTGAAGTCGGATGCTTATGACCAGCTGAGCCACCCAGGCGCCCCACAGCCAGCATGACCTTAACCAACACAGAACTGTTTTCTGTCATTCCAACTAAAAGCATCTCTGGAGAAGATGCAGAAGGATGTACTTCCAGCTCTGGGAACTTCTGCTTTAACCCCCACATTCTGACCTCTGACTCCCTTGGAGACTCCCGAAGGTAGGGTCATCCCACCTTCTCTGGTATCTCAGATGTTGGACAAGGCCTGAAGCTGACTGGGGCGGGGGGAGGCGGTGACCTGTCGGGGAGCCCCTTGGCTCAACACCCTCCGCTAGCCTCAGCCCCCAGGGAGTCCCCTAACCTTCCTGGGCTCCGTCATATTGGCCACGTGGATGGTGTAGACGCCACTGGCGTTGGCCCCGAAGCGTTGGATCTCTGCACAGTCCTGGAACACCTGCTCAGCTGCCCTCACGGAGGCTGCAATGTGACAACGCAAAAGCAATTGGAGGTAAGCTAAGGAGAGAGGGAAGGGGCCAGGTGAGCCCTACTTCCTGCCGGGTTCCGGGTTGGGAGATGCTGGGGACAGGGAGAGGTATCAGACCTGAGAAAGTTTCCTAGAGGAGGTGAGCGAGCTGGGGTCTGGATAAGGAGCAGGATCACCTAGGAGAAGGGGAAAATGTTCCAGGCAGAGGGAACAGCGCGTGTGGGGGCTCCAAGGTGGGAACAGTCCTGGCGTGTGCCAGGGATGGGGTGGTGTGGGAAAGTGGTGGAGGCCAGGGAGGCGAAATGACCCACACCATGAGACCAGAGCTGAGCCAGAGCGAGCTCTGGCTGTCTGACGAACTTGACGGGAGCAGGGCGAGGCTGGCACAGGGACGTTCAGAGAGGAACCAGAAATGAGGTTGAGTTTCAGCAGATGCCAGGTCAGCCTCGGACGCCAGGGTGAGGAAGGAACCCAGACTGTGCGGAGGAAGAGGGCTCCGGCTAAAGCGTGGAATGGAGACTGCAGGGGATAAGACTCCAACCAGGGAGGCCGCAGATGAGGCTGCTAGGGTCTTCCGGGAGAGGTAACTGGGGTCGGAACCCCGGTGAGGCACGTCCCCCTCAACCGAGGGCTGGGTCAAGGGCACATAGCTGGGGGCATGGGCAGAGCCTTCCCTGTCTCTAGGTCTTACGAAGGAGTCCTTAGAGCACCCTTCGGTAGGAGGCACAACCCCACGGTGCCCTTCCCTGGTGACAGCAGGGCAGGGGCACGGGGCGTTTGGGCAAAGGGTGCCTGAGGCCAGGCGCCCAGCACAACCTCCTACCCAGCCTGGCGAGCAGACACGGGATCACAGCTGGAGACTGGGTTAGCGGTGAGCCTGCGGGCAGAGGCGCCGGGCCCGGGCCTGCATCTGGGGCTGAGCTACAACAGACCCACACATGGGACTAATTCAGGCAGTGTCACTGCCAGGGCTATGGCACAAGCCAGTGATGCGTTCGGGTCCCTCCATATCTCATGGTTTGGAAGGACTCCACTTCTGCCCGTGGCTTCCTTGGGGCCTCACATCCCTCAAACCCAGCAGGGCCTGCCCCACTTAGAGCCCTGGTGCCATCCTCTGGCCCTAAATCGCTGCCAGCCTTAGTGCCTGGAACGCGTCACTCCGGCTGGATTCCTTGTGCCTTAAAGGCTTCCCGGCCTCCTGCCGTGCTGATCTTGCAAGGAGTAGAAACACGTTCCTCCGTCTTTCCCTCCCACCCAGCCGTTCTCCACTGCCCGGTTCCAACTGAGCTTCCCAAAACACAGTCCCGCTGGGTGTAAAAACCTTCCCACCGCTCCTGACTGTCCTCAGGTTGGTGTTCTTTCTCCTCAGCCCTGCCTTTTAGGTCTTCTGTGGTCTGGAAATATCAGCTGCATTGCTGGCACACAGTGGGTGCTCAGTTAGGGTTCTGCTGACTGACTCAAGCTGAAACCAGCAAGGCCTCGGCCACCCCAAGCGGGCCCCCTCAGAAGGAGTCCGTGAGAACCGACCCCGGCCTTGATCTCCCCTCTCAGCATCCAGGGCCAGAGATGCCTCCTCACTTCTGTGGGACTCTCCTGGGTTTAGGGACGAGGGCAACAGGGCGAGAGAAGACCTTGGGGAACACTGAGTCCAATCTCTCCACTCTACAGATAGGGACACTGAGGCTGGGGGAAGGGTGGGGCAAGCCGAAGCAAGGGAGGGTGTCGGGTGGGTCCTGGAACC